GGGGGTGGGGGGGGAAAGTGGGGCATTGTGGGGGCGGGGGCAAATATGGAGAATGGAAATGGGGGCTCTGGGGAAATGGAAAGGTCTGGGGCAATGGAGGGGTCTGGGGCACTGGGGGGGATCTGGGGCAATGGAGGGGTCTGGGGCACTGAGGGATCTGGGGCACTGGGGATTCCTGCTCTGGGGCAATGGAGGCCAAGCCTGGCCAACACTCAGGAGTTATTCCGGAGAGACGGAGCCAGGATGATGCTCCCAGAGCCTTCACCTCCTCCAGGCACAGCTTCCTCACAGCCGTGACCTCCCTGCCTCTGGATATGTGCCCTCATTCCCAGCTGGCATCCCCGTTCCGGTCCCTCCCAGCTGTGGGGAGCACAAGCCAAATTCCCAATGGCTTTATCCATGCTCACAGTGGTCAGCTCCCTCTGAGCTGGGATGTGGCTAAAAAAAGCTGGAAATCTGCTGATTTTTTTTTTTTAATTTATTTATTTTTTTATCAGGACTTTTAATTTCCAGGCTCATCCCCAAGCTGGGGTGTCCCTATTCTGTTCTGTCCCCAAGGCTGGCTGATAGGGGAGCTCAGAGGGATCCCCAGGGTGGGAAATAACATCAAGAACTGCCAGGGCAGGGCAGGGCAGGGCAGGGCAGGGCAGGGCAGGGAAGGGAAGGGAAGGGAAGGGAAGGGAAGGGAAGGGAAGGGAAGGGAAGGGATTTTAGGTGTTCACTTAACCTCATGCTTCCCAAAAACCCCTACAGCAGCCTGTGGGATAGCTCCCATGCTTGGAGCTGGCCATGGTCTGAGAGGTGGATGAACATTCCAGACATTGGGAATGGCACAGTCCGTCCGTATAAAAATACCTGGTAATCTTTTAATTGTCTTCTGTGGGTTTTCTCCATGAGAAAAGAGTTTGGAGTGACTCAGAGTCTCTAAACTGGGTTAACATTCCCTCAGTGCCAAAGGTGCTCTTCCAGGCATGACATCCTGCTGGGAAGGGAGAGGGAATGCCCTGGCATGGCCACTCCACCCTGGCAAACCAACACCACTGCACCACACCAGTGGTTTCCCACCTAATTCCCCCAAAACCACCCCAGGAGTGTTCATTGCACCAGCTCGGAGTGAGCTGCTCCACAGGAGCCTTTGGGTATCAGCACTGGAATTTCTTGGTTATTAATAGGGCAAAGAGCTTCTTCAGCTCCACATGGGGAGGGGGGATCCCTGGGATTTCAGCTCTCAAGGAGCACCTCTTTAATCCTCTGTGGAAGAGCAGCTCTGTCCCATCACCTCTGTCCTATCATCCCTGTCACCATCATCTCTGTCCCTTCAACCCTGTCACCATCACCATCACCTCTGTTCCCATCACCTCTGTCCTATCATCCCTGTCACCACCATCCCTGTCACCATCATCTCTGTCCCCACCATCCTGTCCCATCACCTCTGTCATCATCTCTGTCACCATTATCTCTGCCCTGTCATCCCTGTTACATCAACCCTGTCACCACCTCTGTCACCATCACGTCTGCCCCATCATCTGTCTCATCTCCATCAACATCATTCCTGTCACCATCCCCCTGGCCCATCATCCCTGTCCCCATCATCATCCCTGTCCCATCAACACTGTCACCACCTTTGTCACCGCCATGCCTGTCCCATCTTTCCTGTCCCATCATCTCCATCCCATCACCTCTGTCACCACCACCTCTGTCCCATCATCCCTGTCCCACCACCTCTGTCCCCTCATCTCCACCCAGGAGGGAAATCAGAGCCATCCCAGGGGCATGCACCCATCAGTTTAACCCCATTAAACAACACCCCAAAGATTAACCCTGCTCTGGAGCCCAGGATTTATTAATGACAGGGAAAACACCTGGAAAAATCCATGGTGGAGGACAAGAGCCTGCCCCAGGCAAAGGCAGATCCAGGGGGAGGGCAGCATCTCTGGATCCAGGACGTGCAGGAAAATCCCAGCTCCCGGCTGTTCCCAGGTGCCCGGGAAGGACCTGGAGGCTCCGAAGGGAAGGGCCATCTGTCACAGCTGTCACGTGCCCAGAGGGACAGCTGAGGCTGCTGACCTCAGCCTCCAGCTCCTGCTTGCCTGTATGGGGCTGCAGGGAAAAGAAAAGGGGAAAAAAACCCAGGAAAGCAGCTGCCTTCCAGCATATTTTTGGGTTTTTACAGGATCCACCCTGGAGCTCTTGATGTTTTCACTTCCCTTGACAGTAACAGCATTTTTATAGGGATTTTTTTGGGGGATTTTTTTTGTAGAGGTTACTTCACAATGGATTGCTTCCCATCCTCACTCCACCTGCGTTTTCCAAGCCAGTGCCTCTCACTCCTGCCTGCTTTCCTTTCTGGGGTCAGAGCAGCAGCAGAGCATCACTCCAGCAGCCTGGGCTAATTCTGCCCTCTAAGCTCCTTCTGGACAGGAAGGGGTTTTCCAGAGGCACTGGGAAGCAGCAGGGTCAGGGATAAAGGTGTTTTGTTCTGGCAGCCACCTCTAGTTTGCTGCTCCTGTCGCACCAGGAGGATCCCAGATCTCCTCTCCTCAGGTGTCCCTGGACCCAAAGGTGCCCCTCTCATCCCATCGGTGTTCCGAGGGCAGGAGCACTGTGTTTTCCCAAAACCTTGATCCAGCAATTCCTGTTGCCAATTTCCCTAGGACGGCCGGCACCACCCTGCTCTGGTGAACACCAGCACCGTGCTCTTTCCACAGTTGCAGAATCATGGAATGGGTTGGGTTGGAAGGGACCTTAAAGGACACCTCGTTCCACGCCCTGCCATGGGCAGGGACAGCAGGATGAGGGATTCTCCCTCTCCACTAATGTGAGATCCCAGTGGGAACTCTGCATCCAGCCCTGGGGCCCAGCACAGGAAGGACCTGGAGCTGCTGGAGAGAGTCCAGAGGAGGCCATGGAGATGCCCCAAGGGCTGGAGTTGGGCTGGAGCCAGGCTGGGAGAGCTGGGATTGTTCACCTGGAGAGGAGAAGGCTCCAGGGAGAGCTCAGAGCCCCTTGCAGGGCCTGAAGGGGCTCCAGGAGAGCTGGAGAGGGACTGGGGACAAGGGATGGAGGGACAGGACACAGGGAATGGCTTCTCACTGCCAGAGGCAGGGATGGATGGGATATTGGGAATTAGGAATTGTTCCCTGGGAGGGTGGGGAATAGCTGGGATGGCATTCCCAGCGCAGCCCTGGCCGCCCCGGGATCCCCAGAATCGTTGGAAGGTGCCGGGATTTTCCCGGTCCGGCGGGACCCGCCCGTCCCCTCAGGCCGGCCCCGCCCCGGCGCTCTCGCGCGCTTGGCGGCGCTATCGCGAGACTTCCCAACATGGCGCCGGCGGGCAGCGCGAACCTGCCGTGGTACGGCCGGGAGCGGGGGGATACCGGGATAACGGGATACCGGGATAACGCGGCGGGAGCTGCCCCGGGGCTCACTCCCCTCTCCTTTCCTTCCCCGCTGCAGGGTGGAGAAGTACCGTCCGCAGGCCCTGTCCGAGCTGGTGTCTCACCGGGACATCCTCAGCACCGGTAATTAATCCCTCCCCCCGCGGTGACCCCCACGCCGGTCCCGGCTGTCCCCCAGCCCCGGTATCCCGCTGTTATCCCGTTGTTATCCCATTATCCCGTTATCCCGCAGTGCAGCGCTTCATCAGCGAGGACCGGCTCCCCCATCTGCTCCTCTATGGGCCGCCCGGGACGGGGAAGACATCCACCATTCTGGCCTGTGCCCGGCAGCTCTACCGGGAGCGGGAGTTCGGCTCCATGGTCCTGGAGGTGAGCGGGAACAGGGTGGGCTGGGAAGGGATGGGATGGGAAGGGATGGGATGGGATGGGATGGGATGCAGCGATAAAGATTCACACCATTCCCTTCCAGCTCAACGCCTCTGATGACCGGGGCATTGACATCGTGCGAGGCCCCATCCTGAGCTTTGCCAGCACCAGGACCATCTTTAAGTACGTGGTGGGTCTGTGCTTCCCAAAGCTCCCCATCTCCTTGGCACTGTCCTGCCCTGGCACTTGGATTGGGAAGGGGATTTGGGAGGTCTCGGGGTGGGTGGGAACGTGCCCAGGAAGCAGGGATGGTGAGGATGCAAGAAGGGCTTCCCAGGAACCAGCCTAGGAACAAACATCCCAGCTCCCCCTCCTCTAGCACCAAAACCCCTTTTCCTAGGAAAGGCTTCAAGCTGGTCAT